GTGCATTGCATATCCGAGGTGCAACAGCAGCACTCATAGCTGCTTGCTGTATCATGTACCCTGCAGCTGCTGTCTGTACGCTGTCGTGCCACCCGCCAAGGCTACCGCAACCGTTTTCCGTTTGTTGAGCTGGACCGCCTGCCAGACCACTGTCTAGAATAGCCCTGCTAAGCAAAGGCTGTAAATTTTTACTCCTTGCAGAACCCCTCCAGTGCACACTCTTTACTTTGCAGCAGACGCCCGCTGCACCGACCCATGTGATGTCCCCCGAAGCCAAGGCGGGGACGCAGTCCGGACTTCCTCAGGCCCAAAGAGGTCTTTCTCGTCGGAAACTTCTGCAGCATGTTTTGTAACCGCCACGGCTATCTCATGTCCCCTTTGGAAAAAAATAAAAAACCTCTTTGTGTCTGTACTTTGCAACCTTGGCTTAATTGCGTTGTTACCGTCCTCCCCGCAGCTGGATTGCTTATCTTCGAGGCCTTGTTTTGTGGCTCTCAACCGTGATTTCGCTTTTTGTTCGCCAGGTGCCCCCACCTCCCGGAAAATTTACTACGGAATGCGACTGACATCTGCACCCGAGCTTTTCTTTGACCTCAGGGGCTTTTGTTCTATCTTTCCTTTTCGACACCTTTTATTGCTATGTGGGTTGTGCCTGGCTCGGTGTATTTTCCGCAACGGCGTGGGGTCCGTCCTGGCGGGTGCATCTCGTACCTGCACTGTTGGGTGCCAGCGTTAGCCTCTGAAAGGGGAAGGAAAAAAAAAAAAAATCCTACAAGATCTTGGTCTTGTTTCTCAATAGGTGTGGCTGAGGCATTGTCCAACTACGATTGCCACACGCTGCCGCTAAAAGCAGATGCCTGACTCCTACATGATGAATGCGTATGTCAACCTTCAGACAAAAGAACGTTCCTAGCATGCTGCCTACACTTACGTTGGACATTCTCGACATTGAAGCGGTTACCTTTTTTTTTTTTTTTTTCGCGTCTCCCGTTGCGAGCCCTGCTCGCTTGTTCCTGCTATGTGCCTGCGGTGACCGAGATTTACCGAGGCGATCATCTTTCAGTCGCCCCAACTCAGCACCCCTTTTACCTAATTTTATTAGAACCCTGTGCTAACAACTTTCTCGAAATTGCCATCCACAATAGCAAAATCGTCAAAGATTACCTATTTCTATGCAGGTGGCTACAGGGTCCTTGCGTTGCATAGCAAAGAGGAGGCATACTGGTCTCTCAAAGGCCTCTCAACCATCTGTACAGGTGCATATGCTAAGTTGGGCTCACCCAGCCTTTTTTTCCCCCCCTCTTTAACCCCATAGCGTTTTGACTTCGACACCGTACTTTATTCAGGTAGCCGCTATCTTTTGAAATTAACCTTCTTGCATCCACACCTTGAAACAGCCGCTTGGAACCTAGCCAAAGCCCACACGCACGTTAGCGAGCTCCCCCTCTATGCAAGCAGATCATTCGGTGTTTGATCCTACTTTGCCTAATCCCCCCTGGAGTTACTACCCTTTTGAGCCTTTGCCTGTAGCTCCAGCAGAGCAATGTTTTTTAACGACATCTTTTCCTTTCTTGATACAGCCCTCTTAAAGCTGCCATATTTTATATCTTCTAAATGCCCTCCCATTCCCCCCAACTCGGATTTTTTTTCGGAATTTTCCCAGCCGAAGCCGCGTCCCGTTCTAGTATATTTTTAACGCCATGCTTTTCCATCGAACACGGCGTTGCGTAGAACCCAACGTCTTGAAGTGGCTTTGCCTAGTCTGACGAATCGCTCATAACTCTAACCAGCCTCCGTGTAGTCTTACTTTATTCCCGCAGATCATAACTGTGCATTGGCGACAGTTTCTACATGTCTAGCCCTGGCTATGCCTTGAAAAGTATTTTTTCCATGTAAACAAGAAGAAACTATACAATCGACTAGCTCTCGAAATTTACGCCGTGGCCATTTTAAATCCGAGAGTCCCATTCTTTCAAGCAGCGCAAATCACCGTTGCTGTAATCTGTAGATCCCGGATTTTCCTGCTGCTCACTAAGATTCTTGGTTCAGGAAAGCATGGGAAGCCTCCACGATGGCATGCTACTTCAGAATAAAAAAGCGTTCTTAACCAGCTCCAGTTTTACGAGGTTACCTTGATGGTATTGTGGTCCGATTCTGGGCGTTCTTGGAAGCAACTGTAATGCGTCTGTGGCGGACCAGATTTCAGATAATCATCTTACAAACCTAAAAATTGGAAAAAATTATTTCATTGGTTCCCGAGTCTAGATGACAGCAAAAATTTGAGCTGGCCCCAGCTGAAGTTATCGATAGCCTGTCAAACCTTGTTGTGAGAAAATTTTTTGGGTAAATAGTATCATCACCCCAAAGCCAGAATGCCATTCTTTGCACGGTGAACTTCACCGCTTCAAAAAGCCTTTAGCTTTTTATTTGAATAGCTCAAGCGGGTGTTCCGACCTTTCGGCTTATGATTCTCGGGAGCTTTGCTTCCCGAGAACCCCTGTGTTGGTTTTCTTTTCTTTTTTTCGTCCCCCCTTTTGTTTATATCAAAAGGAAGTGGTTTTACCAGTCATCGGATCGATAATAATGATTTCGTTGGATGGATCGAATTTTTTGAATAAAATCAGCTGGTGTTGGGGATTCATGGCTAAGAGCTCAGTTCTGGAGTTTGTGCCTTTGTGGCATTTTGTAGTCGCTTAGCCCTAAAGTAATCTAGGCCACCCATTCCTCGAGCAAAGGCTCCAGAACATTAATCATAGCGTAATTGTTGCCTTAAATTGGCTATCTGGCAAAAACGGGGAGCAAAAGACCGAGTTGTGTTGATGGAGGCGTAGTTCACTTTTGCGCAGATATATATTCTGGATAAGCTTTATCACGGCTGATAGCCGTCAGTACACGAGTGACCCAGCAGATAAAGTAGCCGAAATTCAAACTCTACATGGAGTTCCTAGAGAGCAAACGTGTAATGCATTCGGTCGTTGTTTCCGCATCCCCATCAGAACTGTAACACCACTTTTCCTCCGGACGCTACCGAACAACAACCAATGACAGTCACACTTCACAAAGCGGGCAACGGAGTATTTTAGATGCTTCAAATCCCCTGGTGGTCAAGCTAAGCTTGTGAAAAGCCTTGTTGTGTTTAAATAAATTTTAACGAAAATCCACAGCAACGATGCGGTTGTGAAAAGAAAAGGCTACGCTGGCGGGGACCAAGGGCCGGGCCAAGGAAAGCCAAATCCTCGAGGCAACCGAGGAAGCTTCCCAGGGACTTACCATTTACAGAGAGTTCGGTGAACACCAGGAAAGGAGGTGTTGCGCTGTTTCCAAAGAGGAAGTGGGCAAGACAGACTCGGTAGTTTCCACGAGGCTACCCCATTGTCAAAGCGGATTTCTCCGATGTCGCTTTTTGTCGCTCATCCAGTTAAAGCCAGCCCATTGCGTCGCTGACGAACAATGAAGTGTTATGGTGGACGACTCGGAATTCCGGCTCTGCGCGAGTCAATGCGGAGGCTAGTTGGAAGTCGTTGTGAATATATGAGGCGAGCCTGCCCAACAAAAAAAAAAAAAACACAAGCATGATCGGCCTAACGATCTTGCTTAGGAGGCAGACATTCTGGCATTTCTCGTTTCACGAATAAATTGTAAGACTTCTAGACGGACTGATGGGTCGCGAGAAGCCAGGAGAGGAAGGGAAGGAAGAACACGACCATTCTCGACAAGGTTAATCTCGCAAATCCGGGGTGACGACCCCGAACGCAACACGGGCGCTTTGCCTGACAACACATTGTCTGTTGCATCTGACGAGGATCGGGCGAATCTACAATATGTCGTATGGTCCATCTCTTCCATACAAGGAAAGATTCCACAGGGCTTTGCCATACAGCGTTGTTTTAGACAGGAATGGAACAGAAGACGGCTAAGTGAGGAACTTGGCGACACACAATTCACAGAGGTCTATTTGATCTACACCCAGGAAAAAGGCGGCCGACGGGTGTGCACATAGGGCAGTCAACCGGGGACTAGCCTCGCATTGTGGGGCCCGTGCACCACTTCATGGTGCGTTGCACCATAGCAACCAAGCAGTGTTTCCAAAATGGAAGTCAAAAAAAAAAAAAAAATTAAAAAATCCAGAACATATAGCTTAATTGCAGAGGAGCAGATGGAGGGGGATATGAATGCTGAGTTCTTCGCTGATTCCCGGCAGACAGGCCCCCCGCCTCACGGCAGATCGTGCCGAAAGATTATGGGGCTCAAGGTGGCTGCAAAGGCAGGCAATACCGCAGCCGAGCGAACGTTTCTAATCGTATCTAATTAAGGTTTGGCTGCCTTTGCTGTTACATAATAAGCATATAAACATTCGTGACCCGAAAAACAATGCGCCTAGAAGAAACACTCAAGTTTTCAGGCACAACGCATGGCACCACCTTTTTGCCCACAGTGGACAAAACCAAGACATCCAGAGGAATAGTGGAGGAGTTCACCATAGGATGCCAGAGAATCTTGCAGGCGGCGGAATGGACAGGATCTGCGAGGGGATGGAAAGATGAAACGGGATTCTATTCCATTTTCACAGATTCCTTAAATTTTTTTTTTTTTTTTTTTCTGTCCTTTGCAGCACGGCTGCGATCGTTGCTCAGCTCAGTCAATCTGACGTCAATGAAGCGTTTTCCTACGTCAGCAACGTTAATTCGCAACGATAATAGGAGCAGGAACGTCGTCTGAGACACTGCCAGAGCCAGCAATACGCTTCTCGCCGAGTCCGCCTTGCGCTTCATTGCTTCTTGCCAACCTGCAAAATTTAGACGCCCGTTGCTTAGCCACAAGTCTGCCTCATGGTTAAAAGTTTCAACTCCACGACCTTCGCTTATTTTGCCAACCTTGTTCTTCCACCATTCTCCGGTTGACGTGAACTGCCCCGTTGTCCCGAAGACCTTTTTCTTTACCTTTTTTTTATTTTACGTCTGGCTGCCCTTCACATTCTTTCACTCGCCACAGCTTGCCTTATGAGTCGGCCCCACGATAAGCTGAACAACCCAACACAGCGAGATGAATCTCTGGCTCCTCCCACCAGCTCCACAACTCCAGACCCTGGTCAGCAGGCTGTGCTCAACGTCATGCCCACCTTGCCCTACGTGGTTGTCATTGACAATGTCTCAGACGCTACCAGTCACACGGAAATCCAAAAAGTCATCCATAAGAACTTGCCCCCGAGCGATGTGCCCGAAAAACCACGATACCACATTCTAGATGTCTCCAACGGACGAGCCACTGTGGAATTTGCCGGCTCCAACCTGGCTCATTCTGTCGCTGATGCCCTTGATCAAAATGATATCAACGGATCAACCGTCAACTGTTCTGTGCTAGATAATCCTACGTTGGCTACACCGGCTCCTGAAATCACACAGACGGCTCCTACGCCACCTTCCATGGGCTCCATGAATCCGTTTTTATACATGTCCCCAATGTATGTCGACTACGGCTACTATGGGCCAGGACCGCAGCATGGACCTGGTCTTTATTCTCGTGGCAACCTGATACATCCAGGCATGCCCTCAGGAATGCCTGTACAGCCACATCCAGGTGTCCATGGTGTTCACAGCGTTCCCAGCATGGGTAGCATGTCAGGCTTCCCCCCTCCTTTTTACTATGGTGGCCAGGAAGTCCCCAATATGGGCTATCCTCCAATGCACGGTGCATATGCTCCCTCATACCCTCTGTCCCGCCGTCTGCTGACTCGTCTGAGCAGTAATTATAGCCGACCTCGGTCCTCGAGAAATAGCTCCATATCGCTTAATCGTCAAGGCAGCAGTCAGTCATTTAGACGAGGCAGCAACCTGCGGCATAGCTCCTTGAGCAGTGCGCCAGGTCGAACAAACTCAAGTATACTGGAATATGGCAAAGATGATTTGACTGATTTTGCAGTACCCGAAAGTCCCGTGGGTGAAGAGCTTGAGGAGGAGGGTGCTGATGAGGAAGGCATGATCTATATCGATGACGAAAACGGACAACGAGTAAGAGTGAACCCACGAAGGCTTTTTGTGGGAAACATTCCTTTCAACTCGACATGGCCAGCGCTCAAAAACTTTTTGGTATCGAGGTCGGAGGAAATCGAGCCCAACAATGATATAGAGATTCTAAAAGTTGAAATCCCAATGCAACCCCCACGAGAGCAAACCAACACATCGACCATGGGTTCATATTACTATTTGGCAACGCTATCACAACAGCTTCAAAATGGCTCTGGCGGTTCTGGCCCCCATGGCCCTCCTCCTCCTCATAATAACGAGAGACCGCCACAGCGTGGTCTAAGTCGAGGATTTGCAATTGTCACAACAGGTAATAGAGCGTCACTGGAAAAGCTTATACGATATTTCAATGAGGTCGAATTTGAAAATAGGCCCATGACGGTGCGTTTCGACAGGTTTCCGAACTTCAATGGCTATGTGCTCCAGCAGCTAAATCCCTCGCTACGCAGTGGCTCAGTGGGGTCCAAGAATAAGCCTGGCTTCCTCACGAACCTCGCGTTTGAACGCAACCTGTTCCAGCATAAGTATTACTATGGTTCTGCGCCGCAGTTCCAGCCCATGGCACAGCCTTACCCTAACGGACCGTACTATCCCAGTAGCCGAAATTTCGGCTATCGAGGCCTGCGGCCAGCACAAGCTGGCGACGTCACTGAAGAGGGGGTGGATGAGAACGGTAGGTCTGATGATGAGAATGGCTACGACAAATCTGCCCACCGCAAACCGCGAATGAGCATGGCTGACTTGGGCCCGCCGCTCGCTGAAATAGAGCGAGCGAGTGATCCTACCCGGTCAGGCCCCGGTGAATATTAAACTTAGTTTCAGATCAACGCTAAACCTGATGTAGAAACCCAACGCTGGCAAAGTTTGCAGCCATGCAGAAAGCGCAGCGCTCTGCATTTAAGACCTGCATAAAGCACACGTTTTTCAAAGCCCGGCGCATCATAGCCACCATCAAATGCCGGTCTAGCCGCCTTGCTTGGTTCCAGCCGAACTTCCTAGCACTTTTGGCCACACTTTTGAGCGATCATTGGGCGATGACGTCGTAAGCTTATACACTGCTCTTGCGCGAAGTACGAAAAAAGAAGGCACATTTCTCGGCATCGGGCCGAGCATTGGCGATATACCGGTCACCTGAACGAAATTAACTCTCGCAATCTTTCTGAGTAAGCTTTCGAAACTTGCTCTATTATACGGCGATTTATCTTTGATGCGATGGTGCGACGAACAAATTTTTCACATTATCTAGGCTAAACGGCATTCTCAACAAGTTTACCGAGATTCTCGGTGCTCGGCGAGCATCGAGCCGCGAGCCCCACGGTCTGACTCAGAGAAAGGAAACTAGGCTCATTTTGGCGCCTGATACGCCATGCATAAACTTGCGCCTCCTCGGGGTTTGCTTTGCCTTGGCCAGAGCCCGTGTGCGATTTGATTGGTTCTCGGCATTTGGGCAGTGCACAGACGCATGCGCCTGCTCGACTATCTGCAGCATGCGTCATACTGGTGGCCTGTGGCCCAAGTCCCCATATCCCCACTTTTTTTTTGGTTCTTTTTTTTTGCAGTCAATTTAAGCTTACGGTGGATGGGCTCACTTAATCTACTGCCATTCGTACTCCAGGTGTGACACCACCGTCAGCCTTGCCCCGCTATGCCCCGCTGAGAACCGCTGAGAACCGCTCGGAAGAACCAACGCCGAGCCCGATGCCCAGCAGCCCCATAGATTCTTATCTGTCACTGCATGGCTTGTACAGGTCAATGTAGGCAGGCTGGATCTGCGGAGCCGTTTATAAGAAGACCCATCTCCCAACTTTACTCGCCAACCAAATGACCTCAGACGAGACGGTTGTCCCATGCATCCGAACCCGGAAACGGAGACTTGTGCCTCCTGATAAGAGGAAAAAGGCTTCATTCTCGTGCGACAGATGCAAGATCAGAAAGATAGCATGCCACAGAAAATCTCCCTCGCTGTGTTGCTCTGGCTGCGAAAGAGTAGGGGCGAGCTGTGAAACAACCATCAAGCGCAAGAAGAAAATCAGGGGCCCCATTGAAAACATTGGTCTCCATTACAAATGTCTTTTGGCACTTATTCAACATCTGTTCCCGGAAATTGACGTTAACAACATCGATGCCTTAATTGATGTGGGAGAGCGCAATGGTGTCTCGATGCCTTCAAGGTATGGTGGAAAAGACGACAAGGAGCTTCGTGATCTCTCTTTGTTGATCACTCTGGGTAAGTTGCCCTCGAGCAGGCTGAATTCGCTTGATCTGGATTTCGACTTGAAGGTGGAAGACCTGGATAGCTTGGCTGCCGAACTGGTGCTGGACTCAGACACTTTACTGCAACAACAGGACCTTGTCATCACCGATCACAATGGCAACAGACACATGATTGGTCCTCTCGGTCTGCCTGCTGTGTTTGACTCCTCGGTGAAGGCTTTAGCCAACATGTTCGACATTGACCTTTCTGCATGCCCAACTCTCCAGCATGCTTTCCAGGGTGAGTTGGTGTTAACGTCAAGCAATGAGCCCTTGGATCCTTCCGACTTGGGCCTCTTGTACAACCTGATGTTCCCATACCTTGACGACATCTCAGTCCAAGAAGCTACTTACTTCACTGACTGCTTCTTCGGCAATGTGCATCCTCGTTATCCATGTTTCGTGGAAAGCGTGTTCAGATCGTTCCATGAACGCTTCTGGGCCGCAATGGCCTCCAAGTCCAGAGACCGTTTCATTTCACACCACACCATCTGCAGCATATACATGGTCTGGCTTCTCGGGCGTCTCTTCAGCCCTGGAAGCTTACCCAGAATTGACCAAAGCATAGTTCAAAGATACCTTCACATCATCAGATTGTGTCTTTCCGATATCGTCCTCACACCAACACTCGATGGTATTCGTACCTTGGTGCTACTTGCCATCTACATGGAGAACACCATGCGTAGAGAAAGCGCCTATGTGTTGATCCAAGTTGCTGCTCGTCATTGCATTACTCTCGGTCTCCATAGAGAGTCTCTGGTTATGCAAGTGGCTGACAAACTGAAAGTGGAGGAGCTGAGGAGAATCTGGTGGGCCGTTTTTACCATGGAGGTATCTGTCAGCTGCCAAATGGGTCGGTCCTCGACAATCCATATGTCCGATGTTTCTGCTTCTTATCCACTTTGCTATGATGTGATCCCTTCCCCCGAATATTCTCCCACGTACATGGCCATTCTTGATATCACCAAGGTCATGCACGAGGTTTTGGAATACCGTCAAGCCGTCGACAATACAGAATCCATGATGTCGAACGAAAATCTCGATAAGGCTCTTGCGCTTGATGAGAAACTTACAAGAACCATGCAGCGTACTGATCAGTCCTTGTTGGATCTTTCAATGATTGCAGACTACAAGATCCATTTGCTGATGCGCTACCACCACGATCGTCTTACGATCCTGCTTCCTTTCTTTTCCAAGGTGGCAGAGGACCCTCAATATGCCTCTAACCCAACTGTCCAAACCCTTTTGACTCAAGGTTTGCGTCTGAGCATTGCTATATCACAAATCATTCATGCAAGTATGTCCTCCAACATGCTCAACGGCACAATTCATGCCGACATCTTTTACACATTCCACGCCACGATGGGTCTTGTCATGGGTTACTGTCTCATGAACAACAGCCAAATAAATAGCAACTTGAAGCTTGGTGTTTCCAATGCGGAAGTTCAGCAAGCCATTGAGAGAATCCGTGGTCTCTCTCTTTCCAGCAGAGGCATGTGTTTTGGTACTCTTCTCAAGTTTAGCACATTCATCGACGCTTTCATTGCTGGATACGATTACCTCAGAGGCCCTGCTCATTACAAGCGCCCTAGTGAGCCCGCTTCATATGGTATCACAACCAGTGCTAAGCAGGATATGCTGGAGATGTTCTCGGCTGCTGAAGTTCGTGTCAAGATGGAAGACAACTCCTTGGGTGAAGGATTTGATGATTACTTCATGAAGACGCAAAGGAATGATTATGACACACAGTCTGGGTTCCATTCGGTAGATATCCCCCAATTTAACGAGATGGTCTTCAATGGCGGTATATCCAATTTCGGCAATGGCTTCGGTGCACCTGAACGCTTCACCACAGAAAGCGTACTTCCAGGGGAATGATGATAATGACATGATTTATTAGATTAGAGATAATGACTTAAACTACTATTCAAATGTGTAGCTGTGATAATTGTAAGACATCGAGATGGTCGGCTTCTACTAAAGATCATCTTCTTTGTGCTACGTGCTACAATTGAGAGAAGCCCTGTTGAATTTACACTGAGACATACTTACCCAGAAGTAGGCTTTTTCAATCCAATAGGTTGTTCGTAAAAACCCCTCTTTTTGCCATGCATATTTCGTCCCATTCTTTAAATAGCCTTTGAGCAGCCATCTACCTGTCAACTCTATTCAAGCCAACATCGGTAGCTCTTGAAACTGTTGCTGGTGCATTTCTTTCGGTATTATGGAATAACGTCATTCGCAGGTGCTCTGAAACCTTACAAGCTACAATTTTACACAATGTAACTATTGTTCTGTCTTCTTTTCAAAGGTGAGAAGGCCTACAAAGTTCATTATTCTTGTGGCTTTAATGACCATCTACCCCTAAAAACTGTGGCCTCCTGACCTGCATTGTTCGAACAATGTCGACTACGTCACAGTTGAATAAGCCCTCAACATTCACTGACACCAAAATAAACTTCTATTTCTGATTGCTCTTCGAGTACTGTCCAGAGCATTAAGAGTTCTCTTGATGTTAGAATGGTTCTTGCTCTTGGTGCCTCGACATAGGCGCTTGCTGGAAAGCAATGTGCTGAGGGATTTATTATCTGCGATTTTCTAATGAAATTGGTTCTTACGCCTCCTAATGGTATGTAGCCACGAATGCTTTTCTCTATTTTTGGTCTCATCTTTATTAATGAATCTTTTCAGGATTCTAATTTGTTTTTATTTTTTTTTTATAAATAAAGGCACACTCTCTCGCCCAGCAATTGGTGTCTCAGTTTTGCAGCCAAGCTCGCAGTTCGGCAGGAAGCAACATTTACTGACCTGGCAAGGATCCCTGTTCCCACACACAGGCGCTCACTAATTATCCATCTCTTATTTACTACTACAAATAATCGAATCCGACAACAAGGTCATCCAGGCTAGCGCATCTACCCAACGCATCAATTTTTTATCCATAATTCGTGCTTAGCCCTTCGGCACCCAATTGTTAGTAGTGGAACACCTGACTAAGCATTCGTGAATAAACAAAGCACATCACTCGACGAAGTTCCACTAAAGCATGTCAACACGATCTCGGCCCAACAGCCCAGATACAGAGAAAGCCGCTGAGATTCCTCCTGCCGTGCAAGCAATTTCTAACTTGCGTTGCCCGCTGCCACCACCTATCCTTAACAACCTGAGTCGAAACACCCCGACACAGAAATCGCTTGAAGAGGAAGCAAAGAATGCTCAAGCATCCTCAGAAAAGCTTGCTCATCCCAGTGTGACTGTCGACGTTCGTGAAATTCGTGGTAGACCAGATGAAAGTTTGAAGAGAGCCAGTTTAGAGTCTCCTCGTCTCCGGTCCAGAGACAGCGATAGTGGACACGAGGGCCTTCGGGCACCTGCTCCACGAGGACCATCCGCTTCAAGACAAGAGGTTCAGGAGAAAGAGGCGAATCGCTCATCTGTCCATGCCCACTTTTCGTCAGAGGAGTCGCTGCGACCAAAAACTAGACTGCGGCTGGGGCTGAACCCTGGTGCTCAAAGCACGGCTGGTGCTGGCGCCGTCGTGAACGGTTCTTCTGCTACTGCCCGTGCTGGTGCCACTAGTCCGGCCTCCGGTGCTGAGTTCAAGGATCCACTTTCTAGTATAGGCAGTCAATTGCCTAGTTCGAGGGAGGAAGGGGCAGCAAACATTGACCCTCGCCTCCCTCAGGACGACGGGAAGCTCCATGTTCTCTTTGGTGTTTGCGGTGCTATCTCATCCGGCAAAATCAAACTCATCATTAACAAGCTCTTCGAGATATATTCTCCTCAGAAGATTGCCATACAGCTCATTCTCACGGCATCTTCAGAAAACTTCATCAGCAATGAAACATTGCAGCTTTTAGAATCATCTAAACGTGTTCGTGTCTGGCGTGACTCCGACGAGTGGGTTACTTGGAACTCTCGCGCTGATCCAGTGCTCCACATCGAGTTACGTCGTTGGGCCGATATTCTTATTGTGTGTCCGTTAACCGCCAACACTTTGGCCAAGATCTCTCTCGGAATTTGCGACAACCTTCTCACATCTGTTATTCGTGCTTGGAACACTGCCTACCCTATCCTTTTGGCGCCAGCCATGGTGAGCAACGCCTACAACGCTATCACCACGAAGCGTCAATTGAGACTAATATCAGAGGAAATGCCATGGATTGAGGTGCTCAAGCCTGTTGAGAAAGTTATGGGCTCCTACGGAGATATTGGCATGGGTGGCATGATGGACTGGAACGAAATCGTTAATAAGGTTGTCTTAAAGTTGGGTGGCTATCCGGACATCGACGATGATGACGATGATTCGAAGAATAATGAGGCTGCTACGACTGATAACAATAATAATGACGACGACGATGACGATGATGATGATGATGATGACGATGATGATGACGATGATGATGACGACGACGATGACGACGACGATGACGACGACGACGACGATGATGATGATGATGATGATGATGACGATGATAATAATGCAGTCGCCGATGAAGTCATTCGTGCTCAGAAAGTTGTCGAAGCCGAGAAGGAGAAGGAAGCCAAAGAGCAGTTGCAATTATAGGTGTATAAGTAATATCTACGAAGGATGCAGAATAAACGTATTGATTAGCTAATGACGGGCATTGGCACGCTTAGTAGATTCTGAAAGAAGGACCCATGGTGGACTTAATCACCAAGGAGCCAACGTTCTGCCAGTTCTTCTTCAACAAAGAGACCAAGAAGTTAGCAGCCATCATGATCTGGTTGACCAAGACGTCCTGCTCCATCTCGACGTTACCGACGGCAACAGCAAGACACAAGACCTTCTTCAACTGGAACTTGATGGTGGACTTGACATCCTGAACTCTGGAGTACAAGTCATCGTTGTGGGAAACTGGAGTTGGGAACTTACCAGCCTTGGACAACTGAGGACCCAACAATCTTGGGACCTGCTTGATCAAGACCTCAGAAGCGATGAAAGCGTTGTACTTCTTAGCCAACTTCTTGATCAACTTCTTGTTCTTGTTCAACTTCTTCAAGTCGTCAACGGACATAGCGTCAACACCAACAGACTTAGCTCTGTCGACGTCGAAAGCGTCACCGAAGATACAGATGGTCATGTTTGGTCTTGGGACCTGAGGCAACTTCAAGGTACCAGAGAAACGCTTGTCTCTCTGAGGGTCGTAGTTCTTCAAACCAACCTGCAACTCGACAGTCTCCAAGAAGTTTCTCTTCTTGGTCTCGTTGGAGAACTCCAACAACTTCTGAACGTTCTCACGAACGTGGGCACTGGTGATCTTAGACATCTTTAAAGTTCGTCTCCCAAAAGTATTTGGTAAAGTTAAGTGATTCGACGAGGATGAGGTCTGAGAAGTAACTGAGAAGATTTTTTTCACCGGGTGGTGCTGCGATGTTACGTATGCAGGATGGTGTGTTAGGGCTCGAGCCCTAATATGAAGTATATTTCATGAATTGTTAATTTCTTTCATTGAAGATACTCAGCTGTTTGAATTTTTTTTTATGTCCACCTTCATCTGGTTATCAAAAGCTGAAGGTGAGCTTCACTTAAAGATGATGCAAACCTCGTTAGGGTATCATCCTGATGCCCTCAGCATAGGTTGAGATTGAAAAGCTAGTAGAAAAAGCTGTTAACTAGACACATCAATGAAGATGTCGAAGCGATATAGTACACCATTCTGGATTAAATCATGTAGTCTTGGCCACCGTTTATGATGACATCGAGCACAGCCAAACAGGGTTTCGTTCGAAAGAGTGCAAACTCATTTAGATTTCATAGATTTTGTTCTTTAGGCGATAAGGAACTGAGTGTTCTTCAGAATCTTACCGAAACAATTCCGCTTGAATTTGTGGAGCGGTTTAGTGTTCGCAAGATAGCTCTGGAGTCGAATCGCGTTTCATTTTGCAGCCATTTTACCGGATTGAGGACATATTATCTACCTTTCAATCCACACCACAATGATCAAAATCTTGTTGAATCAAAATAGCAGTAAAGCACAAAAACAGACAGACCAAATCTCCAGTCAGAAATGAAACTTGACCTTTTGATTTTAGAAACGGTCAATTAGAACACCATCATCCGCGTTGATGTCGCGCGTAGACATATCCATCAACCCCAGATTACAGATCCATCACACGAATGCTACAATGCCTACGATGGTCCAAGCCATTATTCTATAGTCCGGCTACCTCCATAACTAGAGCCTATGCTTCAGCAAGACTCACAAGAAAAGAGAAGATTGAGGGCCTGAATCACATTGCTCGAAGTAAGCTATACCAGCTCGATACACGTTTTGACATATTCAACGAGAAGGTAACAAATGTTGTCGACTTAGGCTACGCGCCTGGCAACTGGCTCGCATATGCTCGAGATGCTCTACTGGCAGCGCACGATATAGAACCCGAGAAGATTTATCAAAAGTGCACCTTGGTCGGCCTCGATATTGTGGTCGGTAATCACCCACAAGGATCATTCACAACTCAGGGAAATATATTCTCCAAATTAGCGCATAGAAATGTTACTAAACTACTCAAAGAACATGCATACCGAAGATTGGCTGTACAGAATAGTGTATTGCAGAACACTGACACAAAAGGCAACGGTGAGTTCACCTTAGACTCTGAGATGGCAAAGATTTCGGAGATGTTTCTGAATCTTGACATTAAGGACGAAGCATTAGAGTCAATAATGAGTATACAAGATTACCAAGCCAATTTGGTGACGTCAGACATGACCAACCCGTTCCTTCAAGACAAAGGCTTTTTTAACAATACCACCAGCAGACCCTACATTCGCTCTTCTACAAACTCTGCTCTTAGGCATCATACGAGCGATCCCTTGAAGAGTTCCATCGACACAGCGGATGCTGCACTTCTACTATGTTGCGATGTATTAGCCAAGGGAGGGTCCTTCTTGATTCGTTTGTCAAGAGTTGATTTGGCTGACCCTGAGTTGTCACTCTTTGAGCAAAGACTCAAAAGAACATTTGCACAAGTGAACAAATGGAATTCAGAGGGGGTGACAGAATCGGACAAACTGATAATACTGGAGCTCTATTTTGTTTGCAAACACAAGTTTGAGCATATTGCTGACAAGTACGAAGTATTTGATGTGAGACGTTAAATGTACAATGATTGTATGTAATTTTTTTGAGGAGGGGATTGAACTAATCCATTCTCATGCAGCGAGATCTATACCTTGAATTCACGCCTGAAGAGCCCACAGATTCCCATTAGTAAAGTGTTCTTCTTAAGCCTCAAGAAGGTCATCATCTATAGTATGCTTGTTATCTTCAAGATCAATCAATGCATCCTGGGCAGGTGGCTCGCCCACTGTGAGATTGGAGAGGCTTGTAATCAAACGCTCGCTGATTCTAGCTCTACCCTTAGACTCTAACTGCTTCTTCCAAGAGGCGACAATCTCCTCTAGCTTAGAGTCACTGACACCATAAGTGCGGCCAAAGAAAGCGGCCTCAGTGAAGCGCTCTGTTTTCACCAAAAGGTCGAGACATCTTTCGACGTTTCCAGTTAACCACCAGGCTTGGAATGCGATATTGTACTTACCCAAGGTCTCTGTGCTCTCAGCTAGACGGGCCAACTGCTTTTGATTATTGGATGACGAAAGCAAAAGCAACAATGATGAATAGTCTTTAGCTAACCAGTAGCAGTCTTCCGCGAGCTTAATCAGCCATTTCAGCAAAGCCAAGTCACCCAACTTCTTCCACTTGATGACATTTGCTGAAGCAGTCAGAGGATTTTGCTCCTGACTCTCAGCAAGCAATTCGTATGCCTTGTTGAGATCACCGGTAGATAACGAGATCTGGAATTTGGAATCGAAGTCCTGAGACAAAGAGAAAGACAACTTCATGTAACCAAGCTTTTCGAAGAATCTTGAAAGCTGATTGAGTTCAGTCTTCGTCAAGTCCTGTAGGTATTCGGAATATTCACCTTCCAAATCTTCGGTGCCGATGGTAGAGACATCTGGAATATCCTCCTCAACAAAGCCTTTCGCATATTGCTCAAGATCACCACGCATGACTAATGTTTGCAACTCCAAAATTTTGGCGTTTAAGTACCATGAGATGACATTAAAAGCTTTATCAATCAAGTAAAGCTTGCCATCAGCAGCTTTGTAGCCAATAACGTAGTACTTACGGTCAAAGTGACTCAAGTTGATGACCTCTCCGCCCACGAAGTAATTGAGTCTGTTGGTGCTTCCCGTGGTGTATACGAAAACGTCACCGATGAACTTACCAGACAAGATTGGTTCCGACGATGGCAATGTATAAAGGACGTCAAATGCAGCTTCAGCTCCCTCAGCAGAGCTATACGTACCATCGGTCAACGATTCATCGTAGACTGCACGGTCAAAGCTGAGGAAGTAAGTCTCATTTCCGTTCTTACCAGCATTAGTAGTTCCAGCACCGGTCTCTGTGGCAGTGCTCGTAGTCAAGATGGCAACAATCTCGCCATTGTCAGACCACACAAGATCTTGAACGTCATTCTGTGCGAGGTTGACTCTTCTCACCAATGCACCAGTCTCCCAATCGTAAAAGCACAAGAGACCACTGGACTTAACACCTAACAAAGCACCAGGAATAATCTTGTCAGCTTCATATACCAAGTCAACTGCAACATGTTCTTGAAAGTTCTTGAAGATCTTGATAGAGAGCTTGCTTTCTCTTATAGCGAATGAGGTAGCATTGGACATGTCATGAGAGTTCCAAGCAAAGTCTAAAGCCTTGCCGAAAGCCTTGGATCTCCAAGCCAAAGCAGTGTAGACGAGGTATTCGCCATCACCACAAACAGCTGCATATCTTCCATTGGGTGAATGAGCCAAAGTCTGTGGATATATTTCGACAGTGCCCAAGTCCTTTTGTTGGATAGGCAAGGCTTCACCATCCTTTAAACCATCAGTGGATGTGGGTTTTATAACCGAAGAGTAGACTTCGGAGTTTTTGGCGTAGATCAATTTACCATTGTTGTCCATGGAGAACAAGGGCTCTTCGTTACCCATCTTGACAACGATATAACCAGAATCGCAACCGACAGCAATCAAGTTAGACTTTTGCAAGATACCGACACACCACACTCTCTCCAAGCCATAGTTGACAGACTTCTCCAATTTGAAAGTATTAGAGTTCCAAAATCTGACAGTGCCATCCTCAGAACCGGAAACGATTAAAGGCAATTCAGGATGGAAGATGGCGAAGGAAACATTGGCCAAGTGACCTTCCAAAACGGCGACACAGGACTTTGTTTGGTAATCCCAAACTTTGACGGTTTTGTCGTCGGAGGCTGTGATAAGGTATGGCTTGTCTGCCTGGGGATAGTAGTCCACGTAGTTCACACCCTTCTCGTCATGGGCAACCAATGTGAAGTTAGGGGTTGGCGAGCTCAAGGACCAAACTTTGACAGTTCTATCCAAACATGCCGATGCAAACGTATTGGGGTCTTTAGGATTGAAGTTTACGCTCATGATGTAGTGTTGATGGCCTTCATAAGTTTGTTCCAAACGCCAATTGTTCTCCCAGTTCCACAACTTAACAGTCAAGTCATCCGAAG